CCTATGAAATGATGCATTGATTTGACAGTTCAACAATAACAAGAAGATGAAAAAGAAGAAGAAATTTTACGCTCATGACAGCATGGAGGGTCTGTAGAAACTGGATAACACCGGCCTGAAAAGAAGACATAAATGGGTTAAAAGTTTTAGGCTAATGCAGTGAAAAAGAAGTAATACTGGCATAACACGGCTCAAACACGAAATACCAATGGGAACATCTTACATAAGTACAGGGTGATTCATTAAAAAAAAATCTTAAACAAAATGGACACTAAAAAATGCTTAAAAATATATTTTAGTACATAGCTTTCAGCTAGGTGGCGCAATCTATTACGAGTTTTTTTACAAAATATTCCCTAATTAAGGTTGGTAAAAATATCAACTTTATAAACTAATAAAGTTCCATTTTTTAAGCGAAGTGAAAAAAAAAAAAAAAAAAAACAGAGGAAGTTGAATGGTGTATGGTACAAAAATATGATGTGACCTTTTAAGTTTCCATTACCGAAGCTTCTATATCACAAACTAAAATCACAACACTTGGCTTTTGGACATTTTAATATAAATTAAATCTTAAATATTTTTGTACAACTACACATTTGATGAATTATACATTTTTTCTACACCCACAACGATATTAGCTATTTTCCACACCAACACGGATATTAGCTATTCTACGCACCGACTACATAACGAAAAAGTATGTCATTCAGTTCAACTGAACGAATATATTTTATATCCATTCTACCTAGTAAGAACACTGCACAAATATGAAATCCACCAAGGACAGTTCATATTTTGGTCCCCTGGCTACTATTATTTTTTTAAATTTTAAATAAGCTACAGATAAATCAAACTAATTGTCAGTTTTTTTTTTGGTTTCAGATTAAATATACAATAAAATGAGTTATTTTTATGCAGAATCCATAAATAATTTCTATTTTTATTTCGTCTATATTCACAAATAAATCATAAATTTTATTAAATCTATAAGAAATCAATTTAATTACGAGTAATAAAACTATAAAGTTAGGTGAGTCGATTATAAAGTATTATTCAAAAAAGAAAGTTGATGGTTTATTTTGTGTGGAATTTAGTATTACAGCAGCTTTTTTACCCCCATTGTTAAATTTACTGACACATTCTTGTAGCTTTCGGAGGATATGGGCTGATTAATAATATTTTATTGGTCTACTTTATTTTCAATAATGAGACAACAACTTGTTCTTTCTGTTTATGGATGCTTTTGGATAGTACTCAATGATGTGGTAAGCAATTCTCAAGAACTTGAAGGCATGTTTCACAAATGCTGATATTTTATTTATACTACGTCTGTTGTTAATTTTTCTGTGTTTTCTGTTTGGGTGACTTTATGACCTAGCAGATTGACTAATTAAGCAATTACACTCGAGAAAGTCTTTGGTTTCTTTCGGAATCGAAATATTTTCGGAATTGGGAATTTTTGGTAACTTACGGTTTAACTTACCGTTTTTTTATTGAACCAAAGAAATTCTACAACGAATACAAATAAAAATTGGGTACGTGGCTTCACATTCATTAAATTTTGGATTTAATTACTCACAAGTAAGTTCTTTAATTTTCATAGTGACTTGAAACTTTTTAAATTGTCTTTGCCAAAAGTTATTTTCAGACTAACAAACATTTTTTTCCTAATTTCTTCATGACTACACTTTATCGTTGGATGAAAAGCCATTTTCACCAATAATATATTTTAATAAACTACGACAATTCAACTGAGAAATAATTTTCTAACATATCAAACTTTAGGGTAAAAACCATACTTGTTTATAAATATGACAGTTCAAGCGTGTTTGTTTTTGTTTCCTGGTACATCACAGGTTACTAAATATTTAAATTTAAATTAATGGCTACTTTGAACTCAATCAAAGTATACCTTGATTAATTTTAATAATGCGCCACAATGAAATCATAGCTTAATTAGATGCAGTAAATTATTTTTTAAAATTTAGAATTAAAAAAATATCGCTAATTTGACAAAAAAGGTAACTACTGAAAAAAATATATAAAATAGACCTGTTGCGATTTTTAGACATAACGATTTTTTATTAGCAAAAAACACATTGTATTAATATGAAAACAACTTTCGGTGGACATCTTTTAAAAACTGTGAGTTACAGAAGCTTGAATTGCTAAATTATTCTAGGAAATTTAAAGTATTTGAAAAATTGACATTCTCCGTAAAATTTTATTCTCTGCTATATTATCTGAAGCTTTTCAAAATCTCCGGAAAGCGGAGAATTTTCCGCCCTTTGGCAACACTGTCATGGGCGTCATTACACAATTCTATAGGTAGGGGCAAAATTAAAAAAAAATTAAAATGTTTATTTGTTGGAAAACTAAAATAGAAAAAGGAAAAGGAAGACAAAGCCAAACACAATAATAAAAAAAATAAAATATTTATAGAAACACGAAAACATAAAAAACTCACTCAAACACGTCGACGAACACAAACAAAGACATTAGGAAAACGCAAATTTGAAATTTCTTGTTTCTTGTTTCTCTACCAAAAATATCGATAACAGAAGACATATTTTTTTGTTTCCTGTACACTTATCATGTATAGCCCAGTCTAGGGTTGCCAGCAGTCCTTTTTCTAAACAAATTGTCCTTGTGACTTTTTAAACCTAAAAAAATCCTTTTTAAAAACTATATGTTTTATGATTAACTTATTTGCAGCAACGCCGGCGTGGCCCACACTTTCCCACAAATGAAACCCAGTCCCAGTAGTACTGGTTTTGCGAACGCACTTCATCTTTTTTGGAATTTCTTTATAAGCTTGCTTAAACATACTATAGTTACCAGAGCTTTTATTTATATAGTTTGATTACTTCCATGATGCCATTTGTTACCAAAGCATGTAACTACTACTAACCATCTCGGTGATGTGGTAAGGGACACATTTAAACATATCGAACAAGCCCAAAGTGTAAAGAATTTTAAAAATATCCTAAAATTTCTTAAAATTCACATTTCGTTAAGAAATCCCCCAACTTAAATTAAATTTGTCATATGAGGTTAAATATGTTATGTTACCATGGTATGTGTGACGTCACCTAACAACAATACCAAGTACCTATAGTAAGCTTATAAAGAAATCCCTTTTACATGTGTGTAGCTGTCGAAAAAAGTTTAGTTATATATGTTCAATTTTCCAAACAAATCAAACAAATTTCTGCGGCTAAAACCAACGTTTAAAGAATATGATATCTAAACTATTTTGGTTATTTTGCGGTTTTAATGTAATTATTTGAGGTGATGCAGAATTCAGACTGTTAGAGATTAAAAATTAAGACCAAATTTAAGGACATAAAAAAAATGTTTTAAGGTTGTTTTAAACTGCTTTAAAATATTCCAAGTGTTTTCCTTAATTTCATATTTATTTAGTGTATCTGATTGTTCAGCATTTTCTGAGCGAATTTTGTCTGTGATGGCTATCAAACGACGCGATAAAAGAAATCTGTATTTCACAGACTAATCCTCTCAAAACTTATTAATATATTTTAATTTTTAAGAAAATTGTCAAGAATTATACGACTTCATAAAAAAAAACAAGGCTGATCGGTAGTAAAAAAAAGTATTATTATTTATATTTTTGATAAATAATTAAATGTTTATTTTACGTATGAAGTTTATTAATATACAAATAATGTTACAAAAATAATAATTATTAAAACAAATAGAATAACACAGTCTTAACAAAAGAAATCGACTGCATTCTTCAACGGTGTTCGATAATCTACCCATCCAAAAATTGGTCCCACTAGATAAACAGCCCTTTTCTGTCGAGCGCCGTGCTTATGATGTTTTCCTTTCCCAGAATCGTCCCGGGTTAAGGGACCATCCAAATAATAGATTACAAATTAGTTTTTTATATTAATACCATAAAATATTTTTTAAAATTTGTAGTATTTCGTTAGTGGTTCGTAGAAAAAATTTACTGTACAACTCGAGTGGTTTTGCCATATCGCACTCAGACTATTGAGCACTCCTTCTACGGCATCGTATTCAAACTTCGTCTTCGTGCAATATCGCCATCATATTTATTTTTGTTGCACAAATGTCTATTATGCAATAGCAGATCCTTATCTTTACATTTTTGTTTTTTAAATTTCTGTTATTTAATATGTCTGTAAGTACTACTATTTTTTTTTATTGAACTATAGCACTGAAAATAGTAATACAAGCCTGATGATTGTTATAAAGCCGAAACTAGTTGCTCTTCAGTCTAATAAAATTATTCATGTATTTGTGGTATTGATTTAAAGTTTGTTTTTTCCTTTGGATAACGTTACCACATTTGAGAAGATGGATATTCTTTCGACCTTCTTAACTGATGAAAACGAATGTCATTTGTATTCTTTTACGTTTTCTTAAATCTTATGTTCCACGGTATCGAAATAAATAAAAATTTATATTATTTGTTTCGATTCCGTGTGCGCTCGAAAGCGTCTAGTATTTACAGAAATTATGAATGGGTACATGGGTACACCACCCGTACTACATCGATATCGGCAGCGATCATTCATCCACCTTTCTAAATATAGTCCCACCCACCCGCAGGCCGCTATGCACGCTGGCACGGTCCTCCGACACCGGCAGCATCGCCTAACGCCGGCGATACCGTGTGCCGCGCGTCTTGCGTCCATCCGAATATCCGAAAGCCAAACAAATCAGCGACAGCCAGCAGGGACGAGCAGGATCGCCAGCAGCGTCCCGACGCCTCGGTCAGGGCCGACGGAGAGTGAAAACCCGGCGCCTGCGTCTATCCAGCGCGAAACCGAAAGTGAAAAGCGCTCCCCCACCTTCCCCTACCTTTCGCTTTCCGAACGGGCGCCCCCCACCACACTTTCCCTGGCTAGTGCGGCGTGCGTGTGCCGCCGGTCACAGTAGGCCTCCGAAGCAGTCGCATCGAAGACGTGAACGCATCGTCAAGGTCACACATTCACACACAGTTCCCAGCCATGGCACCTCGTCGGCACTTAGCGCAAGTTCAAGGCCTGGTCGGCGACGAGGTCGGGGGTGTCACCAGGTGCTGCGTACCTACGGGAGAGTGCCTGCGCGCCCAGCAGAATATGAACAACAATGACCACATGCTCATCTCTTTGGACGATCTTCGGGACACCGTGCGAGTAACTTGCAATAATGAGTTATGCACTTCGGGTCGGTATATGCACCGCGAGTGCTTCGATCAGTGGGAACAGTCCGTCTTAAGTTATTTGAAGACATGCGGAAGGGCTCGATCTTGGTCCGAACGCCAAAGGCACCAGAACCTGTGGACCAAGAAGGGTTACGATTTAGCCTATAAGGCTTGTGCGTGCAAGTGTGGTCGCGGACATCTGAAAAAAGACTTGGACTGGATGCCGCCTCCGCCGACTAGCAATATCTTCGGCAGGATCGAAGAAGTTGATAACGGTAAAAAGAAGAAGCGAAAGAATAAGAATAACAATTGCCGGCCTATGCTTGCTATCACCGGTAACCACCCTATCGGTACCGAGGTTAGGGCTAGGACCGGCAGTTTGTCCTGTTCTAGTACCGGGTCTTCTAGTCCACCCACGTCTGGAAGCGAGCCCAGCATTTCGCCAATACACGCTCACTCTAAGAAGAAGAGCAAAGTCGAAATACAGGAGAGAATTCGGTAAGCTTCATAATTACTTTTAAAAACAATTAAATTATCTATATATACACATTAATGCCAAAAGTTAACTCAAAGCATTCGGTAACCCATTATAAATACAAATTTTTAAAATCAGTAAAATTATCGATGTTCTATTATAAATATTAACCCAACATTATTAACCAAAAATGTGCAACAAACGTTTAAAAACAATTATTACACTTCAGAACTGATTTTCCCAAATCTCGATGCAATTTTTAATTTCACTTTATTAGCTTGTCAAAAAATTTTCAGTTAGATTATTATATTATCAATGCTCATTTTATCTAAATATAATATTTTAAACAAATATACAGATATAATAATAACAGTGAGTAAATAAATAACAAAAATATCTCGAGCTAAATATAATTCTTATTAACACCTTGTCAGTAAAAGTTAAACTAATACGTAAGGATTTCAGGACCAGAGTGAAAAATGTACTACAAATATTTTTAAAAAGGTATTAATTATGAAGCATTTATTAATTTTTTTAGAAAAATCATGTTTTGATTACCATTTTACCATAGAATCAAAAGTCGATTTGTCTACGTGTTTTTAAAATAATAAATTTAAAAATGTATAAATCATTCCTAAAAACAAAAAACTCTATATCTAAAAATAGCTTCAATTCAATTATATTCTTTAAAATTTTTCCAAAATAGATTATTTTATCATCAACGATAATTATTTATAAAATTATGATAACAATATAAATAATAAAATCATTAATTGTTTTGCTAAATAATAATATCCTGTTGATATAGTGGCATTTAAATATACCTGTTTGGCCTTGTCCTTATACGTCGTGATAATACGTAAGGATAACAGCAGGACATTATTCAAAACTTATCTACAATATTCCAATATTGTACATCTACCTGACCATTTTTTTAGTATTGAAAAAATTACGTTATTACTTGTGTTGTCTAACCATTTTTTTAGTATTTTGAAAAAAATTATATTAATTTATTATTTTTAATCTATGGAATTTTTTTAAATATTTTCATTAAAATATATTTAATACCAGCAAAAACTGATAAACTGAAAATATCTAGATGCAGTATTAAACCGTAATCTATATTATTATTCGAGTTATCTAACTGATCAGTTTTTTTTAGCTTATTGGGAAATAAGAATACAATTGTATTGTTTATAGAGAATTTGATTTAAAAAGTTTTTTAGGATTAAAAACAATTAAAATTTACTTAAATACTTTTTAAATTAATAGTCTACCTATCTAAAAGTATCACTAGTTAAAAAATATCCTAAAAATATTTAAGGGGGTTTTATTTTTTGAATGACTTTTAACTGAACTTAAAAATTGACCACAAATATAAAAATGATATTTTCCAAAATCCTTCCTAGAATGTTTATTGTAATTTTAATATAATTTTCTTGTCGAAAATATTTCATAGATTAATTTAATATCAACGGTAATTATATAAAAATTTTATAATAATAATAATCAATGCTGTAACTAAATAACAAAAACATTATTTGTAGGTATTGCGAAATTATAATTATTGCTTGACACATTATGTCAACAGTGGCATTAAATTTATTTGGCTTTGAATAGGATACCATCAAAAGATTATCTACAATTTTAAAAAGATAACATATCTGATAATATGCTTCTATAATGCAGAATTGTTTTCTTATTTGAAAAGTTTAAAACTAACAAAATATACTTATTTATTTTTCATCTTAAATATCAGAGATTAAAATTAGAACATAGAAATATTATTTATTTTGCAGGGTTTAACCTACATTATCTACTTACATTAAAAGGGTTTAACAAAAAATTATAAAATAGTTTAGGTATTAGGTACCCATATCTTCTACATGTAAAATTAACATTATGAACATATTTACATAACTTTCCAATTATAATTTGCAGACATTGTGTATCAAAATAATTATTATAAATTTCATCTAAATTTGAGACCGAAATAAGTTTTAAGTATAATCAAGATCAAATATTATTTTCAAATTTCCAATTCACATTATTATATTATAATTTCCATAAGTAATGGAATTGTTGTAATATTTTTCCTTTTGTTCAAATCAAATTATTTAAATGTGTTTATTTGTTAAATTGTAAACTGAAAACTGTTGAACGGTAGTTATTCCATATTACTCTTATCTCTTATGATTTTTTAGACAAAGAAAAAAACTAATATAGAAATATCCTTGTTTTGGTGATAATTTAAGGATTAAGAAATTCAACGTATTGTATCTTTTTTAAAATCTAAAATCAATAAATTGGTGCTAAAACATAATAAAACTATAAATTTAAAAAAAGAATTGTATTTTGACTTATTTTATATTCAATTCTTTTGTTGCAAAAAATTTCAAAACTGATTACTTAATCATCTTCCATAATTTTTTTTATAAATATAATGACAATGTAAATAAATAATAAAAATCTCAATTATTTTGTGAAATATTCAAGTTGACACATTCATTGTGTTGACATTAGCATTTTAATAGATTATATTTGGCCTTGGCCTTAAAATTCAAGATGAAAGTATTATTGGAGTATTTTACTTAGTAATTTTTAAAGAATTGTGAAGTAGTTTTTAGAAATGAAACTTTTTTAAAAAAATTTTTGAAGAAAACTATTTTTATATATTTTCATATTTGCAAAATAAAAATAACAAATTTAACTTTTATTATATATGAATTTATATTATATTAATTTGTTATGTATAATGTTATTTCTGTTCTGTAATTGATTTAATTCTGTAAACTAACGTATCAAATAGAAAAATTCTAATGGATCTACTAAAAATCCCGTTTTATCTAAACTATTAAATGCACATCACTTTTATTAAGAAATAAGTCAAAGAGTAGAGTGTCCAAATGAGATCCCTGAGGCATTAATATATAGAACATAGCATAAAACATTCCTGTACTGAAAAATAGTGTTTTAATGGTCTGAATATAACGCTTTTATATTTATTTATAATATGATTTATTATTTTCCACGTCAAGCAAGCATTTGTTCTATTTATAATAAACAATTTTTTAATTGTATAATTTTCCAATTAATTTCATTAAAAAAAACTAAATACTAGTGATTTATTGTACCAGATGTTCTGAAATAGTATTGCGCTGAATAACTAGAACGTTAATAATAAATAGTTTTAAAATTTCATTAGATATTATTAAAAAACGTTTAATGAACTAAATATTTGTTTTCCAAATTTAAAATGATTGTTAGCATTATTGTACGCATTTTTTTATGTATCCTAAAACAATGAAAGTCAAAATGATGTAAACAATTTATAAATTAATTAATATTTAACTAAAAAAGTATTAATTATTAATGAAGACTCATGTTTTTAGTAACTGGGATATCGTGTTTCAATGATAATTATCTAAAGATAATTTATTAAACATAAGATCTCTTTCGTAAGCTCGTATTTCTTTTCAGTTTCTGTTTTATTACATTAAATAATAGAGTTAACAATCCCGCTTTTAATGATTAAAATCTTTTATAAACATTTTTTTATTAGCTCTTTCATGCACGTTTAACTGAGCGGAATTTACCAAAAAATAGGCGCGTTCTCTTATTCGTTTAAAGGCCCGTTTCCACTGGACCAACTTAAAGCAACTTTTTGTTTTTTTCTATTTTCCTTTGTTGCTTGTTTTACACTCATTGAATAACATATATTAACTTTTTGTTTTCTCCAAGTGCGAAAGCACAACAGTGTTTTAATTATTTGATTTAAATCAAGTGATTTTTTTTATTTTTATCAATGATTAAAATAAAACATATTTAATAACATTAATTTTTTTACAAAATATAATCAAAATACCGATTAAAAGAATACTATATATAAGAAATACAAACTGAAAATATAACGAAATTCTTAATATTAAAAAAATAATACATGTTTTTTTAAATTCAACACTAATTTTCATTATAGTATTTGTACAGAAATACTAATTTTCCTGCTTTCTCAACTCCTTATTTATTTCGTAAATTGGAGTGAACGATTCCAAATGTAGAAAATACTCGCTCTACCGAAGCTGATGAGGAAAAAGCCGAGGCGTAAACACATCCAAAAAATGTGTATACAAGAATTCCTAACATAAAGAGTACCTTAGACTTCCCGGGAATACCTGAGAATTCCTGGTAAAACTCAGAGACTTCCCGGGAATACCCAGATAATACCTGGAATACTGAGAAAATAAGTGAGTATATCCAGGTAATGCCTGAAAAATATATGAGAATGAGAAGTTTTTTTAAAGATTTCCCTAGAGTTAGTAAATAAGGTCCTTAATGAAGTCCTTAAATTATTAGGAAAATAAAGAAATTGTTCTGGATTTATTAACTCGATGATTATCATTTGTTGTTTTTGTTGTTTTTCTAAATGTACTAGATTTATTTCCAATTTTTATGTGCACTACATTTTTCTATTTTAGTATCACTAACATTCAGAGAAGTAAAGTTTTTCAAAATATTTTCTTCAGAAGTGGTCTTAGCCGAGATCTCAGTTTAGACTTCAATAATTTATTGTTCTCTGTCAGCTTCGCTTTCTGAGGTAATCTTTTAAAAAAGTTCTTGACCTTCAATTATGTTATCACTTTCTTTTAAGTTTTCATTTATAATTAAATCATCATCCGAGTCACTGTCAGAATGAACGTATTCTTTGCCTTCTTCCTAACATTTTAGGTACTCTATAGTTTTCCAACTGTCTTTATACGAGAATGCCGGTATAATTAAATTTTGAAAAGACATTTTAACAGCATTTTCAATAGCTGTTTTATTTAAAAATTTAAAAGTTTGTGTCTAAATTATGTTTATAATTTGTTCTCTCTAGGGAATATAATTGTGTCAGATAAATATGTTATAATGTATTTTATCTACTGCTATTAATTTATATATTAATTATTCAAGTGCTTTTGAGCAATTAATAGTATCAATAAACAAATAGCGTGAGTTATAATAGTGAATTATTATAACTCACGCT